CACAAACACTTGTAGGGAATCCGGCTGGGCGCTTCCTGTGAGGAGGAGGCACGGCCAGGCCTCAGCTGCAGGGGCGGGGAGAAGTGAGGAGCGATGCTTGTCTGTGAGCTGAGGCGGTTCTGGCTGGCAGAGCAGTCTGGAGGCAGTCCAGGGTGCTGTGGAGGCAGGGGACTCCCCAGGTTTGAAACAAAGACCTCGTGGGCAGCTCCCCTGAGCCCAGACCGACAGGATGGTGGTGTAGTCCAAGTGAGGTAAGGAGCTGAGCCAGGAGGAGGGCCAGGGGGAAGGCCGCCTTCCCTCTGGATGGGCCAGTCATAGACTCTCTGGACACCCCTGGCAGTCAGCCCAGCCCAGCCAGGAAGTTACAGCGGCCACTCCTGTCCAGCTCTGGGAGCTCAGCCCCCTGGCCAGAGTGGACTCTGGGATGCTAGTGTCCAGTTTCAGCTCTGATTTGGTTTCCTTGGTGAGCTTAGACCAGTGTTGATCCCTCTCGGTGGCCAAGGCGGGCCTATCTCACGGCCAGTTAGTGCTTGGATTGCTGAGGGTCCCTGGAGATGTGCAGGAGTGAGGAGCAGGCCAGGAGAAGACACCTCCCCTCCCCACATAATGTCAGGGACAGAGTCTGGCTGTTCTGGGGGCCAGGTGGTCAGTTTGGACCTAAAGTAGGGCAAGATAAGAGTCAGTAAAAGCCTGGCCCCTTTTCTCTTCATCCCTGGCTGCTTAAGTGAGTCAGGGACAGGCTGGGAACATCCTTAGTGGGTATCTCTGCTTACTGCAGTCCAGAGGCCACTCCTAGTGAAACACTGGCCCGTGCCCTGCCACTGAGCCAAACTTGCTTTGGAGCCTTACTGCCTAGTCCTTTAGAAGGGCCCAGCAGCTTGATCTGGAGGTCTCCCCGCCACCCTCTTGCTTCCGACATGTCTGATTGCCTTGGTTTAAAAGCCACGGTGTTCCTCTCCAATCTGAACTTCCTGGTTGTGAGGCCTCGTTAGGTGTCTGCCTTAGTTTCCTCCTTGGAGTGAAGTTAAGGTAGAGATGCCCTGGCTGTCCTTGGCATGGGGCTTTTGAGGGCCAAGACTGCTGAAGGCTGTGTAGCCATACCAGGGGAGGCCCAGTGGCCCAACCTTAGTGGGCCTTGGTTAGAGGAGCTGGCCCTCCTGGGGCAGAACATAGCTAGCGCTTTCACCAGCTTCCACTGCTGCCTGTGATGGTGGCCACCGCCTCACTGCCTGCTTGTGGCACTCAACGACCCAGCCCTCAGCTCTCCTTGAAGTTCAACCTGTATTTTTAGGCCTCCTTGCCATTGTCTGTGCTGTTCCTCTGTCCTGAATGCCCTTCCTCATCCCCCCTAGATGTGCTTGGTCTGTTAAAACTGTCCCCAAACTTCCTTCTTCAGTGGCTTTTCTGGATTATGTCCTTTTTGGTGGGCAGGACGTAGACAAGCTTACTCTTTTCTGTATCCTAGGACTTGAGAACCTCCAAGTGAATTTGGTTCATCTCAGGCCAGTGTGTTCACCAGAGCAGGGTGATGGGCACAGCAGTAGCTGGACTAGGTGACCACCTCGCCCCTTTACAGAGAAGACTAGTCAGCCAGTCACATGTGCCAAGTGGCAGCCACACCAGGACTGGGTTCTGCTTGCCCGATGCTCAGTCTACTACCTGGTTGCAGCTTCATCTCTTCCTGAGGTTGGCACTGTTTGGCATTGATGTATGTTTATTGATTGACTACCTGACTGTCCGGCCCCAGTCTCCATGGCACTGAGAGCCGTGGCTTGCACAAAAGACTGAGGTCTTTCTCAGGAAACGCTCACAGGTTGAGGCTCCTGAGGGATGGGTGCAAAACTGTAGCCACTGACTGCTGCTGCCTGTGACGTGCAGACTCCGCTGAGCACAGTGAGATTTCTGCCCTGAGTCATTGCAGAAAACAGGCTGTTCCTCTTTCGCATGCAGAGGTCTCTGTGATTGGTCAGGCCGCTCTGCGGTGGACTGAGGGGGTGAAAAATAACCTTCCAAAAGTCAGAACATCACACGCCACAGCCCTTCCTCGGCAGAGACGTTGCAAGGAGGCAAGATGTGGTTGCACCCTTCTGTCTGCCCACACGTTCACACTGGGAACCAGAAGCTGGGAGAAGCCCTGTTGTAGACCTGATTTAAGGATTCTGAGGCACTGTCCTAGGGCCACTGAGCCAGGATCCTGCAGACATAGACTGAGTGCTTAGAGAATTCTCATGCACACTCAAGGTATTGCCAGAATTACAGGTGCTTGCAATACTGCACTCAGCTGTTATGTGGTTCGGGTCATCAGGGTTATACAGCCAGCATTTGGCCTGCTGAGCCATCTCCCCAGCCTCAGCTTAAGAATTTTTCTATTCATCCCTTTAAACGTTACATTTAATTGTTACACATGTGTGTGCTTGTGCATGTATGTAGAGGTCACAGCACTTTTGAGAGTCAGTTCTTTCCTATCATATGGGTCTCAGGGATGGAGCACAGGTCCTCAGACTTGGCAGAAGTCCCTTTAGCTGCTGAGCCATCTCACCAGCTCTCGATTGCGTCATTTTAAAATAGTCTTTCTAGGACACAGAGTACATTGATGATGCAGATACACCAATAAACCTAGACCTAGAGGTAGAGGTGTGCAGATTTTACTGTTGAGGATATGTGGTTACAAAACCAAATGAAGCCAATGAAGGGAGCCTGGCCAGGACTGACCTCTTGTCATCCTACTTGCTGACCAGGCCATCCTGGCTGAGGCACTGTGCTCTGAGCCTAGTCTTACCCATGAGATGGGAAGGCAGGAGATGTGGGGTTCTACAGGAACTGGGACAGAGAGGAGTGCTGGCTGAGAGGCAGGCAGAGAAGCCCTGAGTCCCCATCCATAAAGCCAGAGTCACAACTCAGAGAGGGTTGGCCCTTGTCACTGCTGGCCTTTGTGAAGCCAGCCTTTCCCACGCAGCCCTGATCTCTGGGGAACACAGTCTAGAAATAGCTGCCTGATGACTTTTCCTAACTACGTATTGAAGGCAGGGTCCAAAGGCTGGGGAGCCATGCTGTCCTGGAGAAGAGGCCAGGGTGCTACCAAGAGGTCGGACTAGTTTTTATTCTTGAACTGCTCTGGGCAAGGCCCTTCCTCTCTGGGCCTCAATTTCCCTTCCTTTATATAAACCAAGTGTGGACAGTCGGGTTGTTTGAGAACTGTGGGGCTGGCAGCTCCTAGGTCCTGTGCCTTTGTCCTGAGGCTGAGTTTCCTGGGCTCAACACAGTGATTGACAGAGGAAATACCAGGAAGTGTTAGAGATGGAGAGAGAACGGGAAGAGGCGCACCCTCCCCGCTGCCAGGCGCTTCAGGCTGTCCATCCTGACTTACTGTGACAAAGAGGGCCTTCTCCACTGCCTGAGCGTCACATGCAGCTACAGACGGTGTCATGAGAGGTTTTCTGGGTTTGGCCTCCCCACCAGCCAGTGCTCCCTGCTGCCAGTCACAGGACCCCCGGCCTACAGAGCTCTAGTTTCTCTTTCTGAGACAAAATTCATATAACATGACACTAACCACTCAGCAGCACCTAGCATAACCACACGGATGCATCTTGTCTCTACGTTCACAACATTTCCCTCACCCACGAAGGAAGCCCTATGCCCACTGAGCAGCTCCCCAGCATCACTGTGGCGGCCGCACTTGGTCCCCTTCTTCTCTGGACTCACTTGGTCTGCGTAGTGCCACCCTGGGACTCAGACACAGGATTCTTGTGTCTGGTTTTCACAGCACAGTCCTTCGGTGGTTTGTCTACATTGTCACACATGGTGGGACTTCATTCCTTTTCCTGCTGTAACTCCATCCCTTTGCAGCTGAATAATACTCTGTTGGATGTACAGACCACAAATTGTTTCTCCGTGCAGATGGACAGATGCCTGAGTGTTGAGTGGGGTTGCCGGGACATGTGTGGAGCTGTGTTTGCATGCATGCCTGCTTTCAATTAGTCTGGGCACTGGAATCGGCTCCCCACTCCCCACTTAGGAAACCACGTGGTGTCTTCCCTGGCTTCCTGGACTTGAGGTGATGCGATCAGGGCATCTGTCACTCCTCACTTGGACAGTGACTGTTTGCTAATCTGCGCATGTCCTCCCTTAGGCTGTCAATGCTGTAAGCAGGCCGTCTGCCTGGTGCAGTGACAGTAGCTGGCATCTAGGGGGCGCTTGCACAGTGTGCTGGCTGTGTCCTAGAGGAAGAGGAATTCTCACCTCACTGATGACAAATGAGGACGGTGAGTCACCCAAGGTCACAGGCAGAGGGTTACCTGCCTCTGAGGATCCTGGATGGATGGCAGAGACCCTGAGGACTGACTTTATCCGTTGGTTGTGTCTCATCAGGCCACAGGCAAGATGGCCGCTGCTGAGAGGAGCCACCTGTGACTTGGACCAGCTGCAGCTCAGCCTCCTGAAGATGAAGTGGCCCAGGTGAAGCTAGGCCAGGCCCCATGGCCAGCTCAGGGACAGAGGCACACTGGGCTGGGCCAAGCCTGGGACAAGAACCCCGGAGGCAGTGCTGGGCTTGGGCTGAGGAAAAAGATGCAGAGGGAAGCAGTGACCAGGGCTGGGGAAACGAGCCGTCCCTTCCTAAAGCCACCAGCCCTGAGCTCCTGGAAGACTTCCGCCGAGCACAGGAGCACCCACCACCCCTGGGGTGGGCCCCAGACCCGCAGGAATCTGAAGAGTCTTCTGGAGAAGGTGAAGTAAACTCTATCCTGCCGTGGTAATATGTTTACCAAAGAATCCCTTCTAGCATAGGCAGGGAAACTAGGGTATCTTTGTAGCCCTTACTTAAATTCTATTTTTTAACATTTAAATTGCACAATATACCAAGCATTTTGGAAAATGTAAGCAAATAAGAGGTAAACTTAAAAACTTCATTATTCTACCCCTCCCTGATGAGATGCCTTTCCAGTGTGGAAATGTTTATATGAATGTGCAAATATATTTTGGACTACTCCATTGTCTCTTGCTTTGTTGTTATCTCAATAACTAGGAACTTTATTGCCTGTTCTCTGCATTCTTCCACAAGTTTCTCCTAGGATTTGCGTGGAGTGGGGCTCTCCCATAATCCTTTGGGCCGATTTCTCCTGCCCTGCAGGATACAGCTTCTGGTTTGTGCTGTGGTGTACACCACAGAAAAGAATGCCATCCAGCCCTTTGCATACTTACCACCGTTCTGGCTTTGGTAACTTGAATTGCTTGGCTCAGGGCTTAGGCTTGTTCTAAGGATTCTTCTAAACCCTAGTCAGCAGAGGAAATGTTGACATTCTTCATCTGCTAAAAGGCTTTGCTCCCATTGCCAAGAGGCCAGCTTGGAGGGACTTCTCAGCTTCTCCCATGCAAGTCCGCTCTCCTCCTTAGCCTTGGTTTCCCCACCTGTGAAATGGGCATGATGACAGCATTGGGAACAGAGGTGTCTTGATGTGTGGCGGCTCCTTTACTGGATTGTGAATAGGATATACCCACATTGGATGCCCTTAAATCCCTAGAACCCCTAGAACCCTCGGACCATAGAGAAACCACTTGTGCCTGCCACAGCTGTCCACTTGAGAGCTATTTTCTTGCTTTTCTTTTTTATTTTTTGTGTGTATATGTTACTACAAATTGAGTCTTGAGCCTTCTACAAGCCTTGCAAATGTTCCAAGGCTGAACTATATTCCTGGTCTCTCAAAAAGAGTATATTTTTGAGATGGAATAATTTCTGAGGGCACAAAGGCAGATGTTTAAGGCAATAGGCAGAGGTGCCTCTTCCTAAGAGATACTTGGTATGATGTAACAGCTACTTCCCTCCCTCCACTCCAACTCTTTGTGGAACAAGCCTCAAGTTTAAATTAGACTTGTTCCCGGTTCCAGGCAGGGACCAGACGAGCACAGAGTGAGCGCAGTCCCTGCGTGGCCTCTGGCGGTGGACCCTGGCCTGAGTTCCAGGTCCAGGACTGCTCTTAAACAGCTTTGGATGTGCTGCTGTAAAACAGAGTGACTGGGTAAACACAGTTTTGAGTAGCTAAGAGATATGCAGTGTCAGGAGGAAGGGGAAGAGCACAGCAAGTCTTCCAGCTCCCTTTGGAACAGTCTGTACTGTTACCTAGTGTGTCTCATGGAAAGCTGGATTATTCCAGACAGATCAGACTAGCTAGGTACACAGTAAACATGACTGCCTTCAGGATTTATGTATGTATGTATGTGTGTATGATGGCTGGGTAATAGGTGGAAAAGTGAATACCTTAAAGGATGGGTAGGTGGATGGATGCTTGGATGGATGCTTGGATGGATGGATGGATGTTTGGATGGATGGATGGATGAATGGTTTGGATGGATGGATGGATGGATGGATGGATGGATGGATGGATAGATGGATGGATGTTTGGATAGATGGATGGATGGATGGATGGATGTTTGGATAGATGGATGGATGGATGGATGGATGTTTGGATAGATGGATGGATGGATGGATGGATGGATGGATGGATAGATGGATGGATGTTTGGATAAATGGATGGATGGATGGATGGATGTTTGGATAGATGGGTAAACAAGTCCTTAAAAGGATAAGCAGATGCTTGAAAGGATGGATGGGATTGTGTATGCAGGGCTAGGTGATGGCTAGGTACAAATGGATGGATGAATGGATGGCAGGGTGACAGGATGTGTGGATGGGGTGAATGCTGTACCTACTACATCATAATTGCAACAGCTACTCTTCCTTGGAACCTTTGCACACTTTATCTTTCCCCTTCTTTCTTCTCTGTCAAGGAACAGTACTGAGCACCTGCTCTTCAAATGCAATAGCGCACAAAAGCACCCTTGGCCTTGGGAAGCTTGCAGAGTTCTGTCAACCTATGTAAACAAAATACTCCCCAAATCAAACAAACAGCTGTCACTGCACTCAGAGTTATGATGCAGAGGACTCCAGGCCTGTGAGAGCCTGCAGAGGGAGAGTTTGACCTTATTCGTGAGCTTCTGAACTTCCCTGGTAAGGTTAAGATTGAGGTTCAGCCTGAAGGACCAATAGTTCACAAAACAAAGGAAGGAGACAGGACTCTAGTGGAGGATGGACGCAAGCACAGTACTTTTCAGGGTCAGTGGGGTTACAGGTGTTGGAACAACAGGAACCCCAGGACCCCAGAAAAGGCTCTGCTTTGTGCTGGGAAGAATAGGGAGATGTGATGTGATTCCAGGGGGCGGAACAGGGCCGAGGAGGAGATGGTTAAGTGGTTATTGCATCTGTCGAAATGTAAATGACATTGGCATAAGTGCAGTTGTGAATGCAGGAGTCTGCAGAAATCTCTGTAGGAGCAAATGGGGCAGGACAGGAGAGAGTCAGGGCTAAGGAGAGAAAACGACCAAGGTGCCTCCAGGCTCTGCCTTACCCGCTATATGGGATGGTGTTGCCATTTCTGGAAATGGGACACACTTTGGGAAAACTCAGTCAGAGGCTTGAGTTCGGAGGACCTTTGAGGTAACCAAGAGAAGAGTCATATGAGTACCTGGCTATGTGGAATGTGTCCAGGTTCTTGCCATCTACACATCATGAGATCATGAAGTGACTCAGGTGACATTACAGAGCCAAGACATGCTCAGCAATGAATGACTTATCTTTGCAGAGACTGAAGCTGATGATGTGAGCAGCCCAGAGGGTTCCACCTTGCCTCTGCCCTGGCTCTCCAGCCACAATCAACAGCTGGACCTGTCTGAAGAGGAACTGTATGAGGACCCTGGAAGACCTGAGGTGGAGTTATCTGAAGAGAGTTGCTCGGAGCCGGAGTGTGAAGACCCAGGAGATTCCAGCCTTGTGGCTCCAGAGCAGGGGCCAGCTGGAGGCTGGGTGGCTTCGATCAAACAAGGTAGCAAACACAGACCTGCTGAGCACCCCACAGCCCACCCACCTGTTGGACGCAGCCCCGCAAAGTCCTGGAGCAGTGGTACCGTGAGTCTCGGTCAGCCTAATGACAGCCTTGATTCCACCTGGGAAGGAGACCCTGATGTCCCCCAACCTGACACACTGGCCAAAGCCCTGTCACAAAGTCCATGCCATAACCTTCCACAGCCAGATGACAGAAACGGAGATGGCGTTGCTCTGGCAACACCCACGGAATTCCAGGACTCCTTAGCAGCACCGACCCGGAATCCTCAGTGCTCTGCAGGCACATGGGGGCGAGAAATCACCAGCCTGCCCAGCTCTCGACCTGAGGACCGAACGTGGCAGAGAACTAAGTGCTCACCGAAGCCACTGCCCTCCCGATTTACCGGCTCCATGAGCCCCCCGAGTACTCGGCGTGGGGCAGTAAAGAAAGCTGTGTCGCAGCACAATCAGGGAGTCACTCTGGCTGACCACTCTTCCTCACATGCCCTCAAGTATGGCCGGGGGCGCCTGAACTACCCACTCCCCGACTTCTCCAAGGTGGGACCCCGGGTGAAGTTTCCCAAAGATGAGAACTACCGACCCCCCAAGTCCAGAAACAAGAACAGGCAACAAGGCCCTACCAGACCCCTAATCTTCAAGTCACCAGCTGAAATTGTCCGAGATGTGCTGATGAGCAGTGGAGAGAGGTCCCTGGCCAACGACCCTTCTCTAGCCCACCCCATCACCAGGGTGCCCCAGGAGTTCCAGACACCCGAACAAGCCACTGAGCTGGTTCATCAGCTGCAGGTAAGCAAGACTCTTGTCCCTGTGTGTCACCCGGGTACCTTGTTGGAGTAGGGAAGCTTTGGCAGAGCAGTAGAGAGATTGAGGGTGTGGCTCATTCGGCAGAGTGCTTGCCTCACATGCACCTCATCCCACAGCAGAAGAGGGTGTGGTGTTGCGTGTCATCCACCAAGAAGCAGCAGGAGGATCAATGTTCGAGGCCATCCTTACCTACTTAGCAATAGTAGGTCTGTGCTAGCTTGGACTAGAGACCCTGTCTCAAAGCAACAGAGCAGTGAGAATGTCCATGTCTTATTCAACCACTGTTATGAAAAAATATAACATTCTGAAAGGAAAACAGTCTAGTGAACACCCTCTTCCCTACCCTGCAACATCTACATAAAGTAGCTCCTGGGGTCCTTTCCCATCAATGCCCAACTTCTTCCCACCACTCCCACAACCCCAACTGAATTAAGCAAAATTCCAGGTATCTGGTCACTTTGTATTTTATTGTTGTGTTTACCTCTAAGAACTTTACTCACATGGTTGCATGCAGAGGCAGAAACAGGTCCCCTACACACTTAGCATCTTGTTCTTTCAGTCTGACAGTGTAGACAAGGTTTCTGTCCAGCCCAGTCCTGCAGCTTTTCAGTCCCAAAGAAACACACAGAGACCTACATTAATTATAAACTGGTTGGCCTATTAGCTCAGGCTTCTTATTAACTAAGTCCTACATCTTAACCCATAGTTCTTGTCTGTGTTAGCCATACTTTTAACAGTGAAACATTCTCATCTTGTGTCCTCTGTGTCTGGGTGACAACTGCAGACTGAGCTTTTCCTCTTCCCAGAATTCTCCTGTTCTAGTTGCCTCACTACACTTTATGTCTGGCTACCGGCCAATCAGCATTTTATTAAACCAATACAAGTGACAAGTCTTTATAGGGTACAAGACCATTGTCACATAGCACTAATCCCCCCCCTTTTTATTTTCCAAACAAGAACTCCTCTGAATCTAATCTCCTTTGTTTCAAACATCCATAATTGATTTTTTTGGGAATGTGGGCCTGATTGGGGATTCTGATAATCTTATGAGGACCTAGAAAATTTAGAATTATGGTCAAGTCCTGATTGGAATATTCTGTGAGGCTTGATCATGTCAGCCAACACTTGAAACTGTTCTAGATGTAGAACTCAGAGGAAACTCCAACAGAGGTCCTCTGAAATGTTGGATCATCTGGACCATCCACTTCTATCAGAGGTTTTTTTTTTCAGGGGGATCTTCCTTGATCAAGCCTGATTTTTCTTAGCCCAGAATGAATCCACAGCCTCTTATTTCCTGTGGAAGCAAAAATAAAATCTATTCTCCAAAGTCACATATCTTTTGAATTAAATTTTGAAGTCAAGGCATTTCCAAAATATATTTTTTGTATTAATCTAGCATTTATGAGCAAATGTCTTTTAGCAGCTGTTGCTCCTTCCACAGCCATCAAACAATTCAAAGACAACACAAAAACATACAGTATTCAGATTCTCTGTGTATTTTTCATCTTTGCGTGACTTTATTTTAAAATCTATTTCTTTTATTTTATATTTAATTTTTTGTTTTTTGAGATAGGGTTTCTCTATGTAACTTTGGCTATCCTGGAACTCACTCTATAGACCAGGATGCCCTTGAACTCACAGAGATCCACCTGCCTCTGCCTCCCAAGTGCTAGGATTAAAGGTATGTGCCACCACACCCAACTACTCTCTTTCTTTCTTCTTTTTTTAAGGACTTTATCCTTTTTCTTTTCTCTCCCAAGCCTACATAAATTTTTTAAACACATTATAAATTGTTTAGAGGGTTTTTTTTGTTTGTCTGACTCTGTCTTTACTGTATATCTCTCTTTTTCTGACTACATGAGTCTTTAATTTGCTAAGCAATATAGCTAGGATTAAAGCTATGGCTTTGATGGCTGTATCTACCCCATTCCTTAGCTTTCTGAGAGTCTAGCTTCATGGTGGAGGTACTGTCCAGAGCCATGTTTTGCCACAATTCTATGGAGTTTCAAGGTTCCTGCCACCACCAAGAAGGGTGCTTCCATTGTCACCATTTAAGTATTTGGTGGTGGGGCCTCTTAAAAGAGCTGCAAGTTTCTTGCAGCTAAAGCTGAGTCAAGAAATCTTAAATGAGATGTGCTTGCCTCTAGCAAACAGAGTCCACCTGAGAAAATGCTGCTATCAAGAAGCGATGTTTAACCATGTTCTTTTGTGTCTAGAATTACTTTCCAAGCTCTCTCAGGTTTTATTTGGATGTAGTTGTCCATGTTGGTGCCATTTGTTGACAGAAGTCTTTGTCCTGCCTGGTCCCACAGCCATTCAGCCTCAAACACACAGAGGCCTACATTAATTATAAACTGGTTGGCCTATTTTTCTTATTAACTAACGCTTACATCTTACATTAGCCCATAATTCTTGTCTGTGTTAGCCACATGGCTTTGTGCCTTTTATCAGTGAGGCTTTCTCATCTTGCTTCCTCTGTGTCTGGGTGACAACTGCAGACTGAGCCTTTCCTCTTCCCAGAATTCTCCTATTATGGTGGCCTCGCCTATATTTCCTGCCTTCCTCTTTTTCTTTTTCTTTCTTTCTATCCTCCCTCTTGTATAATTTGAGAAGTTGAAATCCATCCAACATCTTCCTGTGTCACTCTCCACTGTATTTTGTTAGTGAAGACAGAGCTCACAATTCTGTTAAGTTGGCAGGCTGGTGAGTCCATGGGTTCTGCTCTCTCCTCCCCCAAGCTGTAGGCATGCATCCCCATACTTGGCTTTGTTTGTTTCATTTTTTGAGACAAGATCTTTTTATATAACTCTGACTGTCCTGGAACTCACAGAGATCCTCCTGCCTCTGCCTCCCAAGTGCTAGGATTAAAGCCATGAGCCATCATGCTGGGCTCCAGGCTTGACTCTGCTACAGGTGCTGACATCTGAATGAGGTCCTCACACTTGCACAGCAGTGCACAGCAGTGCACAGCAGGCTCTTCACCCTCTGAGCCAGCCCCACACCCTGAATCTGACCTTTAACAACAACAACTTATTTTCAGGAGCTTTTCTTACATCACAGGCAGCAAATGGCATCTGCTTTGTTTTTTCCTACAGTGAGTTGCTTCAATAACACTTGGGTTTTGTGTAAAGCCAGTGGTCCTGAGTAGATAAGAATTGTTTTACTGTCCTTTGTGTGTGCTTGTGCACATGTTCATGTATGTGTGGATACATGTGTGGATGCTTGCATATGGAGGCCAGCAGTCAGCCCTAAGCCTCTCCCTAAGAGGGGTGGGGGAAACAAGATCTCACTTTTGCCTCAATTCAGCTAGGCTGGCTGGCCAGAGAGTTTCAAACACCTTCCTGGTTCTGCCTCCCCAAATGAGTGCCACCACACCTGACATTTTTACTTGAGTTTTGGGGATGGAACCCGGGTCCTCATGCATGTGTGGCTTGGGATGACTGCGCTCTTTCTCTACAGGAGGACTATCACAAGCTCCTTACCAAGTACGCGGAGGCTGAGAACACTATCGACCAGCTTCGCCTTGGGGCCAAGGTAGCGGCTGGAGTGGGCTGAGCAGGGGGTGGGGAGCCAAGAGCCTGGATCCTTAGGGAGATGGTCTACCCTAGTGAGACTGTGTATTGAAGGACCCGAGTCCTTGGACTACCACTGGGCCTTTAGGTGACTTTGGCATAACCTAGCCATCCCTGGGCTCTCTCTCTCTCTCTCTCACTGTTACTGTGTGGTGGAGTGATGGAGGCTGGTGTACTCAGGAATGTCACCAGATGCTGTCTCCTTCTCTGTGACTTTGGGTATGACTACCTGGGCTGACTCCTAGCCACATTCCTCGTCGGCTGGGTGACTTTCAGGCGATGGCTATGCCTGTAAGGCTGTAGCCAGTACTTTCTGCTCCATCTTTGGTGCCCTGTTCTTCCCAAATCACACTTTTACCTTTCCCCCATGTCTCCCTGACAAAGATAATCCTCCTCCTTGTATCCAGCTGGAACTG